TCATATAGAGATCTAGCCACAGGCTTTAGGTGTTCTGAAATGAAATGCTGAAAGTAGTATTACTGAGACAAAAATTAAATGGCATTTACCAAAATCATTAGGAGAAAAAATAAATAAAATTTGTATTTAAAAGTGTATTACCACCATAGGATAAATCATACCTGGACTTAATACAGTAGTTTACAATGACCAACTGTAGTGGTATGCCAAATATATTAAAAACACAGCAAGCATTTACAGACATTAACAAGAGAAAACAAAATATATATACATATCAATAAGAAAGTCCTGCTTTTCTTTACCCATTTTATCTAGAACCAAAACATGTTTCATTCATCACTATTGACATATTGTATACTGATCTACAGAGGAATAGATTTCTAAACCATACAAAACTATTTTAGAATGGAAGTGATGTCTATCACCCTGCATATATTATCCAACATTGGTAGAAAATAAATCAATGATATTAACCAAGTACCACTAGAATGACTACATGACATGCCACTATGAGTTTACTTTATTAACTGTCTTCACACATAGATGGTTCCACACATACTTTGTCACCAATGAGCTAATTACTACTTCTACCTATCTCAACCCTTTTTTACCCTTTTTCTTGATTTCTGAAATCATTTACCTTTATCTTATATTGCTATCAGTAATGTCAATACTATCATAATTATAATGTCTAAAATAAAAATAACAGCATCAACATTTTCCCCTGGCACTCAAGGTAAGGTGAAATCAGGTTAGGTCATGAGGTTTACTAACTGACTCCTTGGTGGCTAAGCACTTGCGGAGATATTTACGTGCAGAGATGCTTCAAAAAATACTACTACAGTGAACATTACATTTTCCTGGTGGTGTTGGGTTAATGGCTATGTCCCATTACAAACAAAATCTCAAAAATTAAAATTATTTATTCATCACTACAAGCATGCTTTCAAAACATACGCTACAAAATATATTATCTAGGGATCCTTAATGTTACCAGGTACCAGTGGTAAAGGGAGGCCAAACAAGACCTGGCCATAGTAATTCAAGCGGACTTGCATGAATTGGGGATAGAAAAAGAGCGAGCGCAAGACTGTAATGCTTGGAAAAGAGCCATTAAGAAACCATGTCCAACCCACGTTAGCTTGGAAAATTAACGTTAAATGATGATGATGATGACGACTCCTAACATACCTGAACTTCAAAGGTGAAATATTTGTTGAGATTCTTGACGATCATGACGAGGTAAGGAAGCTTTATTCCTAACGTCTTCTTCGGGTCTGCTGGGCACGTGATGTAGGTGGTGCTGAAAGAGATTTTCAAGAATTTAATGTTTAATTCTTTTTTCTTTTTTCTATTTTAATTTTTGGGGGAGTATCACTTTCTCCTCTTTAATTTTCTTCTTAGATGATGCAGATCTCAATACCCTTTTTCTCTTAGTTTTGAATTAGGGAAAATAATGTATTAAAAAAAAAAAAAATAGCGTAATGGCAGTAGCAAACTAGGTTGTAGTTTTATACCCATGACCTCAAACTTATTTTATGTTAGAGCTCTCCAAGGTTTGGCTCTTTTTAGTAAAACTGAATAATCATAACTTTGATCACATTTTGCTCTTTTTTGGAAAAATTATGTAAAATTCAAAACATGGAACACAGTGTCATGTTTCCCATAATATTCCTGAAAGTAATGAGCCCTCTCTTATCTTCATTAGTAAATAAAATATAGCGTAGACTATTGCTGGCAGGAAAAGGGCAGAAAAAAAGTTTACCTAATTGCATATTTCTGATTGGCCATTATTATTGAATAACTAGTATTTTCCAATAAAAATAAACCTATAGACTACAATCTGGTGTAGTGGACTAGATTATAAATATCATAATCTTCTGCATTGGAGAAGTTAGCCTTTATGGCCTTTCCTTTAATTACCCAGAATATATGGACTTAACTACATGGTTCATTTCAGAAGGATTATTGAAAAGCAAGTTTACTTGAGCTATACATATATAGACCTGTATGTACATGTGAACTCACTACATGCATTCAAGGATTTAATGTTTATCAATTGAGTATAATACACAAAAGAACTATTTAGGCGGGGTAACTGTAATGTTCAAAGAATCCTAAACAAAACTATTGGAGGGGGGAGAGTTTCATTAGTTTATGACTTAAGAATCATGCAAAATTTAATAAAATAGTCACATAGGACAGGGCACTTTTATATGCATTCCCAGTGTCAAAGGATTACTTTTCAAAAGAAAAAAGAAATGAAAAGAAAAGAAAACACACATATATTGATACAAACCATCAAGCATGAAAAAAGTTAGTTCAATATATACATATATCCAAATCACTTTAGAGATAAGTAACTTTTCTCATCATATTGATTATTCTGAATAAAATAACTATGACCAAGCACACAAAATTACATGCTATGGAGATTTGTTTTTGCCAGTGACAGATAATATATCAGTATCAACTATTGCATTACTTCTTCAACTATCAAAAAATGAATTGCATTTATTACACCTACCTTACATTTACACCAACAATTTCAAGAACGAGAGACTGAATGTCATTATCAGTTATCCTCTTGATGTGACCATTACGGACCTAAAAAGAAAAAGAAAAGTTCATATTACAGGCATTTTTGCTAGTAAAATGCACACTAAATTAACCCACAGGCTGAGGGCTGGGGTGATGGAAATGAGTCATTATGAAAAATTTGGCTGAGGGCTCAGGTGGCAGGAATAACTAAATTTAAGTGCCAAAGCTCATGGAGGAAGATTAGACAATTGAGCATTTAAGAAAGGACTCCTGCATTATTTCCATCAGTAAATGAGAGTGGAATATACCATCTGTGAGCCATGGCTGGAAGAGTGCCTGCTCCAGGAGGGGCAATATTTCCATGCTCAGGATAATATTCCTGCTTGTCACACACACAAGCAGCACAGGGTGTATTACAGAAAACTGAATAATGCAAAAACATTAAAAATGACACATAAACACAATGTTACCTTCTGTTATTGCACAGAGTTGTAGACTACCTAGAGAGATGATGTGGAGTCAGTGCAAGGAACACTGTCTACTACCATCTTCCTACAGAATATCAGTGTCAAATACAGACCTTGGAAAATGGCAAAAAAACAAAAACTGCTAATGCAGAAATATAGATAATAACATTGCAAATGGGAGGCATATCTTGATACCAGGCATAAATGATCATGTGGGCTGGGCCTACAGGCCACATATCCAGGAGATGCATCACTCAAGAGGGCCTTTTGCCCAGATTTTGGTCCAGGTGTGGGCCATGAAACACCTGGATCCAACGGGTTTTCTCCAATGTGGATATTGTGGACTTTGTGAACTTCAGACTTCTAAAAAATGGAACACTACTGTACTTTCATTACTGTGTATGACACAAAATAGAATGCAAAATATCTGGGTTCTTTTTTGACACACACTTAGGAGCTGCAAGCCCTAGGCCTGTTAACCACTGTGATTAAAAGGCTGCTTGAGAGAATACATATTAATACATCGGTGAGAACTCTGCGTTTCTATTTCTCTTCTTTACCTAACTCCACAATTTCCTTGTTCTCTTTTCTGCATAGAGCACTAATAACAGATAGTATAACACATATTTCATAAATCATTTGCAAATGATATAATCAACAAATGCAAATACTGTCATTGTAAGTCACCAAGTCATACTGGCATACACAGCATAACATTACTAAAAATCTCTTTTATTTCCAGAACACTGTTTCACATGGATCACCAGTAGGATATGTGGCAAAAGTATCTTATCATTCTCACATCTATAAATCTATATCTATTTCTGTCAATCTATTGAAGTATAAATAAGTATATATATAGGTATATATAAATACATACATTTTAATACACACACACACACAAATACATACATACTTATATACATACATACATATATGTATGTGTATAAATTATATATATATATATATATATATATATATATATATATATATATATATATATATATATATATATATATATATATATTATATATACATATATATATATATATATATATATATATATATATATATATATATATATATATATATATATATATATATATATATATATATATATATATATATATCAAATGTACATAAACAATATATGGTATATAGCATACATAAATACTTATATACATACATAGATTTTTGCGTATTTTTATCATTCTTAGGGAGTTGTGCCCACCAAACCCCTAAGTATAGGGGGTATTGCCCCTATACATATGCATTTGGAGTGCAGTATCACCACCACATCTGACTAACAAAATAGAGCCCAGATAGCTCCCATTAATGCACCTTATGAGTGTCATCACAACCTGCTAAGGCAGAGTTACACATGTCTCTCTCCTATCCCAAGTTACTAAGTAAGTTATGAGAGCTTTATGACATTATTTGTACTTATTTACTCATTATGCTGACTATTTCTGTTACATTTGGTTAGGAGAAATCAAAAAGAGCCCACCGATGCCAAATTTGATAGGCTTAAGAGGCACATTGGTTCTAGAAAATTATCTCTCATTAATTACATACACCCATACTATGTATCTTCATACAATATGTTCTTTTTGTATGATCTGAATACGATATATTATAAGATCTTACCTTTTTATCCCATATCTGCAGTGGTTTACTTCCAATGCTGTAGAGAATGGAAAGGAATCCACTCTGAAACGTATTCTTGAACATTTTGTCTTCTCACCAGAGGACTTCAGGAGTTAAAAATATATTTTCGCACTAGAGGACTTCATGAGTTAAAAATATATTTCAGAAATATGAAAGGCTACCCTTTAGATGCTGGCGATACTATTTCACTCCTTCCCTCCTTTTACCACGCAGGAATGAGTGAAAGACGGGAAGGCAGCTACTTCTCCTGCTAGAGAAATGCCGACGAAGGAATGCGTGCTCCCACTACTGCTTCTCCTCCTTTGGTTCTGACTTCAGCGGGAA